TTCTGAACTGGCATTTTCTACCAGTCAATTCCCTTCAGCAATATGAAGAGAAAATTATTAATATATTAGTGGTAGAACTTGCTTACTGAAGCAGTATATTAATGCTTCTGAATACTGCAAATTAAATTAACTTGTTACCACTTATATTGTTACAGTACACACATTTAATTCCTGCACAAATTTAAAAAATTAATTTTTTTCTTGTACAGACTAAGGTAACAAGTATGCTGGCAATTAATAAAAAAATGATAAACAATCTTAGTTTTTGCAGGGCAGTTATTCTACTATTCACATCAGAACAAACCCCACAGCAGTATATCTTAGAACGGCTTGGGTTTGAAGGGACCTTAAGATTATCTCTTTTCTGTCCCCCTAACACTGGTGTATCAGTGTTTTTTCACTATAACATTTGAAAAGATCACATCAAGAAGGCATATCATGAAGGAGGAGCAGAAAAGCAGCCAAAAGAACAAGAGTAAAAGAAGCCACACCAGAAAAGAACACCAAAGCTAAAAACGCATGGGAGCCAATATATTCTCTGAAGCAATTATTTGTACTATAAAAATTTAGAGGCCAAGAGCTTGCTTTTTGTTTTTTTCTTCCAGTCTGTCACAGCCGGTTAACCTCACTGGAAGACAGCAGTGACCCTCAGAAGCATTCCTGAGTGCCGAATCTCAAATTCCTGATATGCTAGAACATTATAAAAAATTAAGTGGCATATCCTTAAATAATGTAAAAAGTCATTACATTCTAGGAGTGATTGAACTACTTTCTCTGACGCTCAGCAACAAAACAAAATGCTGGAAAAGCTTTTACTCCTAGAGAGAAGTAGTTAACTGCTAGTAAAGAAACTTCAAGGAAAAAATACTGCACGATTTATACTGAAGTCCTGCTACCACACCTGCAGGCAGTTTCCACACATACAGATTATCAAAAAACAACCATACTAATACATTAAGTTAGTAAGACAAAAGTAAAACATTACTGATACAGAAATATCATCATTCCAATCTTTTATTACCTGCCAATAGTGCAATCAAGGTCTTCTTTTTTTAAACAGTTGTTTTTATGAAGATATACAGAATGTGTACAAGTGACAATAATGTACATTCCTGCTTTTTTTTTGTTGTTTTGTTTGTTGGTCATGTGTGCTTTTTTCCCCCCTTGGCAATTACTGCCCGCCCATGGTTTCCTTTTGCTTATACAACCCTTCTATAAATTATCCTTAGCATAAAATAACAATCCCTCATAGGACAGATCGTATTTCAGACAGAAACAGTCACCTCTGCAGGAAACATTAACATTTTGTTGCTACACAATGAAAAACCATACTATGTATCTCCGTCACAGAGCTGCAGTTCACACCATCTAAGTGGTAACACTCCGCCGTGCAGAAGACAAAAAGCAGTAAATAACAATAACCAGACAGTTAAGTAGCGAACAGCTGCATGGGCTTTCAGTACAACTGCATGTAAAATAGATGGCTGCTCCTCCTCAAAGTTACAGGCTCCTGCTGAAGCACAAGGATACGCACAAAATGTTACAGGTACAAGCCATGCCATGCATTTTAAGTGCTTACAGGAGCTGTATTCTACACAGCATCCCACACAACCAACAAATGCAATAGCTAAAGCCTAACACTCAAGTGTATGTACTTCATTTAACAAGGTAACACTGCCTACTGTCATTACAGAAAGTGGCCAAAAAAAAAAAAAAAAAAAAAAAAAAGTGATAATGAGAGAGCAACCCAATGAAGCTGCAAACACATTTTTTCAGGAAGCATGCATATGTAGCAGCAAGTAGACCCTGGTTTGTTTCTTTATTCCCCCCCCTCCAGTTTCAGCAAAACTACTTACACTGTGGAAGACCTGGGGCACTGAATCCTCTAACAAGCATTAACTTCTGCATGACAGAGAATGCAGCTCAGCTCCTGCCCCTAACGAGCTGGTGCTTATTCTAAAAATAAAGTATGCACTGCCTATTAATTTGACTTGAAGTCCATGAAGTTCCTTTTCCGTGAATATTTGCACCAATAGAAAAACACCACTTCATCCAGTGCTTCACCTGTTTTAATCTACCACTAATTAAAACCACATGGAAACGCCATGTTCTGAGAACATGCTATTTTTTATGATTTCCAAAATCTACCATTAAGATTATTTTCACAACATGTTTTTCTCATAACCCCACATGAAAACCATATATAGACTGCATGCAGTTTCGACCTTCCATCTACTCCAGACAGGCTAATCCAACAAAGCCACGGTGTCTTCCATGAACCTTCATGGAACCTGATAGACAACTTTCCATGAATCTTCATGGAAGAGCAGGAATTAGGCCAGATGGAGAAGACATCTCTCTTGTAATTTAGAAAACAATTCATCTAGCAACCAAAACCACTCCCAAATCTATTTTAAAGTTGTTTACTGTCCAGCCATTTACTAGAAATATTTGAGGCATTAGGTTTGAATCAGGAGAAACATTAAGCGTATGCATGCAGCTTAAGCAGCACAACTGTGCTTTTGTGCAACCACACACTGAGACACAGATACAAAATTTCACCTTCTCAGCATTTTAAATGACTCACAGACTTAAGTACTGAATGCTTTCTCTCCACATGACCCAGACATGGTACACACCCACCTATTGTCTCAGGTCATCTTGTATGACTCCACGTCCATCTCTCTGCTCAGGCCCGTACCTGGCTCTCCCAAAGAGAGCATGAGCTGATGTACACAAACTATTCCAAAAAGTCCCACAAGACACGCAGCCAAGGACTGCATTCTATAGACTGACAAAACACTTTCCTACTCAACTAAATCATCCCAATGAGCAGCCTGAGAAACTGCAGCAAAATATCAGCATCTAAAAGAAAATGGATCTGCCACCATTAGTAAGAAAACTAAGCTCAGCTCTTGTCAGCAACCTTTCCCAGCGGGGCTGGGTAAAGTTTCTATTTGTATCTGCTTCTTTCTAAGAAAGAAAAGCAAATAAATAAATAAATGACACAACCACACCACCACCAACACCGCAGCATTCTTTTCAGAAAACAAATAAAAACTGAACTACAAGGCAAACACAAACAGCATAAATTGACGCTTGTTCTACTTCTTTCTGTTTCCAAATACTGAGCTACTGAGGTCCAGACAGTCTTCACAAGAGCAGAGGATCTGCTTGCCTGCTATGTTCTTCAGCAGTTCTATACACTCATTTAAGTACAAAGCAATCCAGAAGCTGGAAACGCACGTTAAGATGACAAGCCAAAACACCACAGATACCATCGTACCCTTAACTTCAGTGGATAAATAAACTCCAAGCAGAAAACTTCCCTTGTTGTTGGCACAACACACTTCAACATAGTCTGGACAGCCACATTACCTTCTCCAGAGTTGTTCTCTGCTTGGGATACCACAGAAGATCAACAACCTCAGAGCGAAAAGTCAACTTCACGTCCCCTAGAGGGCTTTCTAAAGCTAAACCTCTGGGCAATTTCAGGACTGAGTTAGCCTTTTGCATTCCATCTCTAAGACAGCATTCTTGAAATATACCTTTTTTTTTTTTTTTTTTTTTTTTTAATTTTTTTAAAATTTTAAATTTCACTTTTTTTTTTTTTTTTTTTTTTTTTTTACTGTTTCTGCAATAATACAGTTCTATGGTAGCCTCAGAAATCGAGGGTAAAGACAATCACCAATGCAAAAAAGGTTCTTACATTATTATTACTTCTAGCTAGAGAAATACAAATCCTGTTGTCCTTTTACACTAATTGCATTTGTACTACACACATACATCGACCAGCCATACACAAGTCTTCCTAAATGATTAGGTGCAACGTCTTACTATCTCAGCTTTTCTAGTTCATTAATATTTCACTTTTATATATTCCTCAGCTGCTTTTACAACATGTTCCCTTCTCTGCCTCTTAAGTGTGAGCACGGAGAGTTGTTTGAAGTAGCTTATAGACCTCGCCTCACACCCCCACCTCCGTGCCCCCTGAGAGTTCAACACTTCAAGTGCAATACATACCAGAGAGAAAAAACACATCTGGCACAGAAAAGGATAAGAAGAGATGTTGAGTCTCCCTTCAAGTTGCATTCAACTATAAAGGTGGGCAATCAGAAAATAAAGCAGACTACAATCTTTTTGCTGAGACGTTTACTGTCATCAGCCTCAAAGACAAGAGGGAGACGCGCAGCTCAGAGGGTTCTCTTCTCTGTGGAAAAACAGACCCACCCTGTTCCTCAGAAAGAAGACTTGCCGCAACTTTCTCTGCCTTGCAGAAACGTGAAAGGTCACCTCCTTCACCCAGGAGAAACCACGCAGCATTCAGCCAGAGGAAGCTCGGGATTTCCACAAACCCGGTCCATAATAGGCAGCAGCACCACCACCATCTGCTCCACCTTCTGAACGTGCCATGTGCTTTTGGAAAACACAGGCAGAGCCCTCGGCTCTTGCCCCCAACCCAGCCCTGCGCCAAAGCCGCCCACGTTTCTGAAAGCACTTCTCTTCCTACCATCCCCACGGGTTCATCTCACATCCCTTCGTAAATAACAATAAATAAACAGCAAGACGCAACGCCCGAAAGGAACGAGGAAAGGACCCGCTGTCCCCGCTGACCCGCAGCCATGCCGCCGGCCCCTCCCGGGGACACCTGCGGGCGCTGAGCCCCGTCCGCCCCACCACAAAGCGGTTCGCACCGTTGCCTGCCCCCTCTCCGCCGCCCTCGTTAATCCCCAGCGCTCCCGGGGCTCGGCGTGGGGCTGCGGCAGCGCCGATCCTGCCTCCGGCTGGGAGCCGCCCCGGCAGCGGGGAAGGACGGCGGACTCGGCACGGAGGCGCGGGTGGGCCGCCCCGGGGCGATACCCTCCGCATCACCTCCGCACCTGGCACCGCGGGGCGCCCCCCCCCCCGCGCACCCGCCCGCTTCCCCAGCCTCGCGCTGCTCCCCGGAGCACCCCGCGGCCTGCGATGCCGCCCGGGGAAGGACCAGGGACGCGTTATACCTGGCCGGGCTCCTCCGGCAACCGGCGGTGGTTGGGGACCCCCGCTGCGGTGCTGCGATGCTGCTGCGCCGCGGCCGCCACCACCTCTCCGCCCGCGCGCCGCGGATCTCCGGGCGGCTTCCTGCGTCCCCTCCCGACTGGGGGGTGAATAATCCGGCCGGGGTCAGGCAGTCACGCTGCGGCTGCGGGCTGCGTGTGCGGAGCGGCGGCGTGTGGGCAGAGAGCGAGCGGGCGGGGGCGGGCCGGGGCGGTGCTTCCGCGTGTGTACCGGCGCGGGGCGGTGCGCGGGCGCTGGGTGGCGGCTGTCCCCGCGCGTGGCGTGGGCGTGTGGGCACCGCGCCCCTGCGTGCCTCCCGCAGCTTGCAGCGCCGAGCGGGGAAAGCCCGAGCCCCACCCCAGTCTCAGTTCGGCCCTGCCCCGGTGTACTGATGCTCACCATCTGCTCGAGGGTTTATTTTTTTCTGCTGCACGCCAGTCTGATTTCACTTCCTCATCCTCTCCTCCGATGTGTGTGTTGTGATTATTTCTCAATGGAGCTTGCCTATCGCAATCCAGGAGCATCACGGTGCTCGATTAATGGAATGGGGAGAGAGCACTAAGAAAGTGGTGGCCATACGACAGGCAAGGTCTCGTTTGTATTAACACAGCAATGGTGCAACTGGAATATTGGGGTCAAGGCAGCAGTTACATGGCATTTACTGCCCCTGTTCCATTCAGAAAGAAGTGGTAAAACAGAGGAACTGTTATTGATAGGACATGAGGTAATGGCCTCAAGTTGTGCAGGGGAGATTCAGATTGGGTATTAAGAAGAATTTCTTCTCGGAAGGAGTGATTGGGCACTGGAATGGGCTCCCCAGGGAGGTGGTGGAGTCACTGTCCTTGGAGGTGTTCAGCAAATGTGACGACGTGGCACTGAGGGACACAGTTGAGTGGGCATGGTGATGTTGAGTTGATGGCTGGACTAGATGGCCACCTCAGTGGCCTTTGCCAACCTTAATAATTCTATAATTTTAAACTTTAAGAAATATAATTGAGTTTTCATAATATGTTTGTCTTGTCAACTTATATAGCATCATCAGAATCAACCACTCATTTTTATATGTGACAATCAGTCAAACACATTTACTGCTCCAATCTGTGATATGTAACAACAAAAACCTAGAGGTGTTTCCATTTCTTCCTGGGCCAGATAATAAACCTAAAGCAGATCAAGTGTTCTATGCTCACAGGGGACCAACAGGGGTATGCTGCACACAGTGATGCTACATGGACAGAAACAGGTTTTTCATAACCCATTATCCACATCTAAAAATGTCAAAAATCTCATGAGACACAGCCTCAAGAATAGGTGATCATCATTCACAATGCTGATAGTCACAATTTGGGAATTTCAAACAGGAGTACATGGTAGCCAAAAAGTGTTACTGAGTGTTCACGACCCAGCCAAGCACACAGGCAACTCTATACACATGAGTCGTCTTAATGAAGTCTAAGACTTTTGCCATAATTAAAATGAAATATCTGCTTAGCCACTTTATGAAGCTCAGACAGCCTTGAAGCCAGAGGCAGAGGAATCCAGATTTCGCTGAATCAGGGTTCTCCCAAGAGCCTTGCACAGTTTCTCAACTTCATTTCTTATCCTTCTCCTTTTTCCCTGCATTCAGTATGAGCCTCCTAATGGTTAACCCCAACTTTCCAGCACATTTGTATAAGCTATACTGCCTGCTGCTGCCCCAAAAGATGAACTATGTGATTAAGCTGCACTTCCAGACACATTTGCAACTGATGCTTCCAGTGCTGCTAGGAAGGCTTTGGTCAGCCCAGTGACAGAGGCAGGATTGCCAGCAGCTAGAGATTGCACAGCATAATGGCAGTTTTTAAAGGAAAAAAAAAAAAAAAAAAAAAAAAAAGGTAATAAATCTAAGCATTAAGCAGTACCTGTTTTGAAGTGGGTTTGCTAATGGAAAACTCAGCAGATAGGTATGGGAGCTATGAGAGGAGGAAGGTTTGTGGCCACCACACCCTAGGCCTTCCCAAGCACCCATAAAATGATTATCTTCTCCCACCCATGTTCTGCTGGCCTGGCTACGGTGACTTTTGGAGAAAGCCTCTCTGTACGACAGGTATTCCACCAAACAAATAATCCAGTTTTGTAACACAACAAAGCCTCATGAGGTAATTCCAGATTTGGAGATTAACAGAGTCAACAGGAACAATACATTCTTTCTGAGAAATAAATGTCCAAAAAAAAGTGTCACTACAGTGACAAGTCTGATTTCCTTGCATTGTCTGTCATCTGTTTCTATTCCCTCTCTGTTTGAGTTCATTCCATGTTTCCTGCCTAATGGTTTCACATGATCTCCTGTCAGAGATTCTCTGCTTGAGTTAGAGTGGTTCTGCTTGAGTGATCCTAACTGCACTGAGTCTGGGGCTGGCCACAGCTATAGAAATACTTGGGGGGTAAAACAGATTCATCTCTGTTTTGTAGAAGCTTATAATAAATCCTAAAATAACTGGTTCTGTGAGAACAACTGGCCATGCTGAGCTCTGATTCAAAGCCGGGGGCTCTGACTTAACCTCAGCACTGGGATACTCTGGGCACATCAAGAGGGGATGCATCGTTGTCTGGACTTCACTGAAGGTTTTGCTATTTGAGCCTGGTTGGCACTGGATGGAGGTGCTGCTGCTTCACACTAACCACGAAGCGCTGTAGTCCAGTCCCAGTTTACCACCACAGGAGAAAGCAAAGGAGGCCTTTTGTACCAAACTGCTTCCACTCCGTCTTCAAGAATCATCTGTTCAGTGAAGCAGTGCCACACTGATCAGTATGTATTGGTTTCGCATTGCGTGTGATCATATCCACTTGCACCCTTGGAGCAAGGTTTAATTGAGTGACCTTCCACTTGCTGTATAGTGCCACACATGTGACATACTGCAAAAATAGTCACTAACACTGGTCAGTTTGTTAGAAACGATGAATTTCATCATGCTGACATTAATATCTCGAAGGAGGTCAAAGTCTGCTTTAGTTAATCACAAAAGAATAGTAATCTGAAGCAGTTTTTAATTAATGTTCATGGGGTTTGTCCCCTGCTTTTAAATTGGTTGTAAATTGATTTATAGTCGCTGTCACTGGGCTCCCTCAGTGTCAGTGGCACAAACGACACCGCTTTTTTTTGCAAGGTAACTACCACCACTACTAGGGTCAGAAAGAACAATGACAATGGAAGCATATAATTTCAATTCACTCAACAAGAGAAATTCTCAGTACACTCTCAAAATTTAGCTTATTAAATTGAATGAAGAGCTTTTTTTTATTACTTCACCAGCAAGATATTTGACAAAGAACAGAACAGAGTAGGATAGAAGAGAACAGAATAGAATAGGACTGTTTGGAAGGGAATTACAAAGATCATCAAGTCCAACTGACTGACTAGTTAGAGTACTACTCAAAACACATTATTAAGGACAACATCCACATGTCTCTTAAATACAGACAGGCATGAGGCCAAAAAATCTTGATGAAAATACCTTCACTCCTAACTCAGAGGGGTATTTTCACAGTACAGTCCATTTGTACTGGCTGAAGGTCTGACCCTGCAGTAGATGAACCAACTCGTGGCTTTCATTGTTATCCCTGAATCTCCACACGGGTACTGAAGACTCAAAAGGACTTGGGCACTATATTTTTATGAAGAGCAGCTTAATGGAAGGATCCAATCCATGCTGTGTGTTTGCATTTCTTTTTATTTAGACAACAAAAGCCTGCATATAGTCGGTTTGACTTTTCGTTCTGATCTCTTTCAGGATTCTTATGTTAGAATGTGTTGGTTCTCCAGACTACCAGTGTTTCTTTGTGATTTGTCTGTTGTGTTATTTGTATTTAAATTGTGGAAATATTTTGGTTTGTCTAGCAATTTTTAAAGTTCATTTTTATAACATTTACATGCTAGGCAAAATTGAAGTTGACAAGCATTCTTTTCAGTGTTGTTATTTACCCATTGTACAAAATGGGAATGGGAAGGAAACCTGCTGGAAGGGAAAACTGCATTTCTATTTGAAACAGATTGATTGTTAACACTGAAAACATAGTCTGAGGGTAGTATTCTGTACCAGGAAATAAAGGATTATAATAAAGTATTGCATGCCTCATTTTATCATATCTGCAACTCTAATGCATCATCACAGCAGGAGCTTTCCACAGTATGACTGAACCTGGGGGTCTGAGCAAATTCTGCAGTTAAGACTCATTAATTAGTTTTGCCTTAGGACTAGGCAGCGCCTAAAGTTGTTCAGTTAGCATGGAATTATGAAAGTTTTCCTCATCTGTCTAGTGAGCAGCAACTTCTATGCTATGCGTACAGAAGACCACACACAAGGCATATGAAAGAAAGACATCATCTGAGACAGTGCAGAGGAATGCAGGATGTCCAGGAATTTATACATAGAAACATATAAGGTACAGTCACTTTACTGCTCAAAGCTGTAAGAGGAACGCCTCTTTGCCTTCCTAGATATCTTTACAGGATTAATACAAAAAAGTTGGGAAAAAAATTATAAAATCTATTTTATTATAGTGTTACTAAGCTTGTATTATTTATACCAGCATCTTGGTAATACCTAGAAAAACGTATAAGGTTATTCAGTTATTGATGTTTTCCCAAAAGCCTTTCAGTTCGGTGTCCAGTAGGAGGCATCTACCTGGAAAAACTTCCTGGGATTAAATACCCTAAAGCTTTTGAGTCTTTCGTGTCATCACTCTACAGCCCTACATCTCTGCTATGTGCAGTCATATAGTCAACAATAATTTGGAAAGCTGCACAAGCATGATCACCAGAGCTCACTAGAACTTTTTCAGGAAGGCAAGGCTTGTGGTCTTCATTAAAATAAATAAATAAATAAAATGATTAGCTCTTCATTTCCTCAAGGAAGTGCCCTACCTGCAGTTGGAGAGTGAATAGAATTAAATGAATCTTGTGCTTGAAAGCCCTTGCTGAGCCAAAATTAGAAGGAACCTTTCTGAATCTTACCCCTCTGTCTTTTCACAGCTCCACCCTTACTTTGTGTTTGCCACCATAG